TTTTTCAAGGATCATCAGAGACGTGGATTTTTTAAAGAATATTTTTTCAAGGATCATCAGAGACGTGGATTTTTTAAAGAATATTTTTTCAAGGATCATCAGAGACGTGGATTTTTTAAAGAATATTTTTTCAAGGATCATCAGAGACGTGGATTTTTTAAAGAATATTTTTTCAAGGATCATCAGAGACGTGGATTTTTTAAAGAATATTTTTTCAAGGATCATCAGAGACTTGGATTTTTTTAAGAATATTTTTAAGGGCTATCAGAGACGTGGATTTTTTAAAAAATATTTTTTCAAGGACCATCAGAGACGTGGATTTTTAAAGAATATTTTTTCAAAGAATCATCGGAGACTTGGATTTTTTTAAGAATATTTTTTCAAGGATCATCAGAGACGTGGATTTTTTTAAGAATATTTTTTCAAGGATCATCAGAGACGTGGATTTTTTAAAGAATATTTTTTCAAGGATCATCAGAGACGTGGATTTTTTAAAGAATATTTTTTCAAGGATCATCAGAGACGTGGATTTTTAAAGAATATTTTTTCAAGGATCATCAGAGACGTGGATTTTTTAAAGAATATTTTTTCAAGGATCATCAGAGACGTGGATTTTTTAAAGAATATTTTTTCAAGGATCATCAGAGACGTGGATTTTTTAAAGAATATTTTTTCAAGGATCATCAGAGACGTGGATTTTTTAAAGAATATTTTTTCAAGGATCATCAGAGACGTGGATTTTTTAAAGAATATTTTTTCAAGGATCATCAGAGACGTGGATTTTTTAAAGAATATTTTTTCAAGGATCATCAGAGACGTGGATTTTTAAAGAATATTTTTTCAAGGATCATCAGAGACGTGGATTTTTTTAAAGAATATTTTTTCAAGGATCATCAGAGACGTGGATTTTTTAAAGAATATTTTTTCAAGGATCATCAGAGACGTGGATTTTTTAAAGAATATTTTTTCAAGGATCATCAGAGACGTGGATTTTTTAAAGAATATTTTTTCAAGGATCATCAGAGACGTGGATTTTTTAAAGAATATTTTTTCAAGGATCATCAGAGACGTGGATTTTTTAAAGAATATTTTTTCAAGGATCATCAGAGACGTGGATTTTTTAAAGAATATTTTTTCAAGGATCATCAGAGACGTGGATTTTTTAAAGAATATTTTTTCAAGGATCATCAGAGACGTGGATTTTTTAAAGAATATTTTTTCAAGGATCATCAGAGACGTGGATTTTTTAAAGAATATTTTTTCAAGGATCATCAGAGACGTGGATTTTTTAAAGAATATTTTTTCAAGGATCATCAGAGACGTGGATTTTTTAAAGAATATTTTTTCAAGGATCATCAGAGACGTGGATTTTTTAAAGAATATTTTTTCAAGGATCATCAGAGACGTGGATTTTTTAAAGAATATTTTTTCAAGGATCATCAGAGACGTGGATTTATTTGTTCACTAACCACAATAGGCCTCAACGTTGATTTATTGTACAATATTTTTTCATGGACCAGATGACCTTTGACAGACCTTGCAAATTCACGAGACGTTGTAGAGGTTTCTACATCCGGAAGAGATTTTATGAGCAGAGGGCTTTTATAATTCGTCTGTGGCCAGATGACCTTTTCCAGAGTTTCTCTGGCCAATGCATCTTTTAGAGGCCTTCTGTGGCCGAATGAATTCTTATAGGTCTTCTATGACCAGAAGACTTTCTACAGGTCTTCTCTGGCCGCAACACCATTTTCGGTTCTTCTATAGCCAGAGACCCTTCTACAAGTTTGATATAGGCAGAGGAACTTTTACAGCTTTTATGTGGCCGGAAGACTTTTTACACGGCTTCTATGGTTCACGACCAGAAAACTTTTTACAGGACTTCTACGTTCAAAAGGGGTTTATAAGATTGCCAGAGGACCTTTAGTTATTTTTTTATGGCCAGAAGACTTTCTAAAGATCTTCTGTGACTGAAAGACCTCTTGAAGGTCATCTATGGCCAGAGGGCTACTTACAGGTCTTCTAAGACCGGAAATCCTTTGACAGATCTTCTATGGCCAGAGGACCTTTTACACGTCTTTTAAGGCCAGAAGACTTTCTATAGGTCTTCTCTGGCCGCAAGACCATTTTCGGTTCTTCTATAGCCAGAGTATCTTTTACAGGTCTTTTATGGCCAGAGGAACTTTCATAGGTTTATTATAGCCAGAGGAACTTTTACACAGCTTCTGTGGTTCACGGCCAGAAGACTTTTTAGATGACTTCTACAAACAGAAGGTCTTTCTAAGATCTTCTATGGCCAGAGGACCTTAAGCAATTATTTTATGGTCTGAAGACCTGCTAAAGATCTTCTGTGTCTGAGAGATCTGTTACAGATCCTCTAGGGTCAGAGCACCATTTACAGGTCTTCTATGGCCAAATATCACTTTTACAGGTCTTCTATATCCAGAGGAGCTTCTAGCCAAAGGACTTTTACAGATCTTCTATGGTCAGAAGGCCTTTTACAATTGCCATGATTGATGAAGAGCAAATATGCCAATGGTCACATACATACCTGCTGTTGGCCGTAATACCTGCAAGGAGACAGAAAAAGAAATTTGATTATAGAAAACATGCAGTAATCGAATGTTAAATGCATTCAAAGAACACCTGTCAAACGGGTGGATTTCGTAATGGGAAATGCATGATTTGTGCATGGCTGAGGTGGACAATGGATGGGACAAGTGGTGGATTAGGTTGGGAATAAAAAATATAAATTATAAAATGTCAAGAGTGGATTTTAGGGCACATTTTATTCAGGGACCAATGTGAATTTTTAAGGATATTTTTGCAAGGACTATCTCAGATGTGGATTTCATTGAAGGATATTTTTTCAACGACTTTCAGAGACGTGGATTTGTCATGAAATATTTCTTCAAGGACCATCAGAGACGTGGATTTTTTAAAGAATATTTTTAAGGGCTATCAGAGACGTGGATTTTTTAAAAAATATTTTTTCAAGGACCATCAGAGACGTGGATTTTTAAAGAATATTTTTTCAAAGAATCATCGGAGACTTGGATTTTTTTAAGAATATTTTTTCAAGGATCATCAGAGACGTGGATTTTTTAAAGAATATTTTTTCAAGGATCATCAGAGACGTGGATTTTTTAAAGAATATTTTTTCAAGGATCATCAGAGACGTGGATTTTTTAAAGAATATTTTTTCAAGGATCATCAGAGACGTGGATTTTTTAAAGAATATTTTTTCAAGGATCATCAGAGACGTGGATTTTTTAAAGAATATTTTTTCAAGGATCATCAGAGACGTGGATTTTTTAAAGAATATTTTTTCAAGGATCATCAGAGACGTGGATTTTTTAAAGAATATTTTTTCAAGGATCATCAGAGACGTGGATTTTTTAAAGAATATTTTTTCAAGGATCATCAGAGACGTGGATTTTTTAAAGAATATTTTTCAAGGATCATCAGAGACGTGGATTTATTTGTTCACTAACCACAATAGGCCTCAACGTTGATTTATTGTACAATATTTTTTCATGGACCAGATGACCTTTGACAGACCTTGCAAATTCACGAGACGTTGTAGAGGTTTCTACATCCGGAAGAGATTTTATGAGCAGAGGGCTTTTATAATTCGTCTGTGGCCAGATGACCTTTTCCAGAGTTTCTCTGGCCAATGCATCTTTTAGAGGCCTTCTGTGGCCGAATGAATTCTTATAGGTCTTCTATGACCAGAAGACTTTCTACAGGTCTTCTCTGGCCGCAACACCATTTTCAGGTCTTCTATAGCCAGAGGACCTTCTACAAGTTTGATATAGGCAGAGGAACTTTTACAGCTTTTATGTGGCCGGAAGACTTTTTACACGGCTTCTATGGTTCACGACCAGAAAACTTTTTACAGGACTTCTACGTTCAAAAGGGGTTTATAAGATTGCCAGAGGACCTTTAGTTATTTTTTTATGGTCAGAAGACTTTCTAAAGATCTTCTGTGACTGAAAGACCTCTTGAAGGTCATCTATGGCCAGAGGGCTACATACAGGTCTTCTAAGACCGGAAATCCTTTGACAGATCTTCTATGGCCAGAGGACCTTTTACACGTCTTTTATGGCCAGAAGACTTTCTACAGGTCTTCTCTGACCGCAAGACCATTTTCGGTTCTTCTATAGCCAGAGTATCTTTTACAGGTCTTTTATGGCCAGAGGACCTTTCATAGGTTGATTTTAGCCAGAGGAACTTTTACACAGCTTCTGTGGTTCACGGCCAGAAGACTTTTTAGATGACTTCTACAAACAGAAGGTCTTTCTAAGATCTTCTATGGCCAGAGGACCTTAAGCAATTATTTTATGGTCTGACGACCTGCTTAAGATCTTCTGTGTCTGAGAGATCTGTTACAGATCCTCTAGGGTCAGAGCACCATTTACAGGTCTTCTATGGCCAAATATCACTTTTACAGGTCTTCTATATCCAGAGGAGCTTCTAGCCAAAGGACTTTTACAGATCTTCTATGGTCAGAAGGCCTTTTACAATTGTTCTATGATCAGAAAACTTTTCAAAGATCTAGTATGGCCAAAAAACCTTTTATAGGTCTTCTGTGTTCACAAGACCATTTTCAGGTCTTCTATGGCCAAAAAACTTTTACAGGTCTTCTGTGATCACAAGACCATTTTCAGGTCTTCTATGGCCCAAGGACCTTTTACATGTCGTTTATGATCAGAATACTTTTTAAAGGTATTGTATAGTCAGAAAACCTTTTTACATGTCGTCTTTGATCACAAGACTTTTTACAGGTTTTCTTTTACAGGACTTCAGAATTCCATTATAGAGCTCTGAAATACCAATAAGGGATACTAAGCCTTGTACAGTTTGAAAACTTTTTAATGTCCTTCTCTTGGAAGAAATCCTTAAGGAGTTCTCTTTGAACCAAGCTCTTCAAGAGAACTATGTCTGGATTGAATATTTTTTTAATATTCAAATCTTGAAACTTAAATAAAAATTTTAATTTATTTTTACAAATCTTCTTGATTTTTATTTTTCTTTATGACAAAAAAAATTATTGTATTATCAGTCAAAAGGATTTTTGGATAAAAAAATATGAAAATTTCGGATTTTTTGGAAATATTTTAAAGAACAAACGTACATTCACTAAAGTTTGTGGGGAGGGTAGAGGGCGATAAAATATGAGGATAAACATAATAAATACAAAAGGTATATACAAATAAAAAGAATATATTAAAATATGACAAATGAACATGATTTTATGGCAATGATGGATCGGAAAGAGCAGTGTAGTAGCTTAGGCGAAACAGTATGTGATCCATGTGGTTGTGGTAGTGGAAAAAACGACATCATGTCCAACTGTTCAGTACCGGATTACAACTAGGGCAGGATAGGCCAAAGTTGGGAGAATTTAAGTCCATAGCCATAACAGATCCATACAACACCCCTTCTATCAGCGTGAGTCTTCCTTGTTTACCAGGGATGAGCATAGCCATGGGCCAAAGGCAAAACTGGAGCATGATAACTGGCATGCAGGGCCAAGGGAGCTGCAGCATAAGTGGTCTTAATTACCGGTGCCACAATGGGTTGCACAACATGAGCTGAGCTGTGGACCTGGCTAATGGATTGATGCGACACGGCAGTGGGTACGGATTTGACAATGGCACCAACTTTGGCATAGGCAGGCTCATGAATGACATGGGTAGGACCAGCCACAAGCACAGGACCATGACCAGCCAAGTAACCGGGACGAGCAGCAGCTACGGCCAAGAGAGCAGACAACACCACCTAAAATTATTGAAATGCAATATTTTTTTTCAGAACTTTTCTTTTTCAAATATCCTTTTTCCCCATCTTACCAATTTGAACATTTTGATTATCCTTTTTATTGAAGCTTACGAAGAAAAGAAACGACAAAGAGGTCTGTGTTGCTGTTGTGTGTTTAGACTGTTTTGAAGTCTGAATAGTTTATGTTTTAATCTAGGTTTATGTGGCCATTTATATACTAAAACTTGGCTTATTTCCTCAAAATGGCTGGCGAATACAACAAAAACAAAAATAATTCCCCAAATCAGCTGCTAATGTTGTCGTCGTCGCCGCCGCAGCTGATCTAAAGCCATACAAATGTGGTTGAACACAAACCATAACAAAGGCGGCGAGAAAAACAGAATGAAAATACGAAATACAACAACAACCGAACGCGAGCATAACAACAAATGCTGGCGAAAATTGTTGGCAAATATGAGAACAGAAACAAAACTCCAAACTCATAAAACAGCATATGCCGCCCGGTAGTTGGCCTTCTCAGAAAAAGGAGGTAAAAGGGGGGGGGGGGGGGGGTGAGTTCGGTCCGAACGCTTAGCAGACACTTTATAATCAAGTTAATGCACAAATTGTTGTTTGTTGTATTGTTTCCTAGATCTGCTGTGCTTTGTTATTGTTGCTGCTGCTGCTGGTGGTGGTTTGTCGTCTTAAATGTGAGTGACCAGAAAACTGACAATTGGTGGTTTAGAATTAGGTGGCAATGATGTTGACTGTGGTGGCGGCCGCTGTTAACCACCACCTAGCCATGCTCCAGAAGTGCAGTTTTTTGTTTTATTTTCAACAATAAACAATGTAACAATTCCATTTTACATACATATAAATCGATTACAACATATTCCATGGCAATCTGGGGGGAACATATACAGTTTTCGTCATTCGCCTCCTGAGCATTAGCTAATTTTTATTTTTGTTTTTAAGAAAATCACTCACATGCAATTTTGTAACTGTTATGTCGGTCAAGAAAAAGCCAAAACAAAATTTAATTCGCAAAAATTTCTTAAATTTCGAAATGGTTGCAATGTAATTCGGGAGCGGATATAGGGGACCAGTTCAAAATGAACAGCTAGGAAGGCATTTTCAAAATGTCCTTACAAAAATAATAAATAAAGTTTTTTTTTTTTTAAAAACCACGAGTTATGTAAAGTAGGAAATGCTTTGCAGCCCTTTTATGGCCAGAAAACGTTATCCAAGTCTTCTATGGCCAGAACACATTTTTATACCCTACACCACAAGGTGGTCAGGGTATTATGTCTTTGTGCATTTGTTTGTAACAGGCAAAAAGAAACGAGATAGACCCATAGTTCCTTTTGATGATCTGCATAGAATCACATTCTGAGTCGATTTATGCATGTCCGTCCGTCCGTCCGTCCGTCCGTCCGTCCGTCCGTCTGTCCGTCCGTCCGTCTGTCCACGTATTTTTGTAAACAAAGTACAGGTCGCATTTATTGCCCGATCCAGATGAAATTTTGCACAGATCATTTGTTCGGTCCAAGGACGAACCCTATTGAAATTGGAGATAATCGGTCAAAATTTAGGTATAGCTCCCATATATATCTTCGTCCGATTTGCTTTTATTGTGCACCAAACGTGTAATATCAGTCCGAATAGTATGGAATTTTGCACAAATCATTTGTTTGCCCCAAGGACGAACCCTATTGAAATTGGAGATAATCAGTCAAAATTTAGATATAGCTCCCATATATATCTTCGTCCGATTTGCCTTTTATTGTGCACCAAACGTGTAATATCAGTCCGAATAGTATGAAATTTTGCACAAATCATTTGTTTGCCCCAAGGACGAACCCTATTGAAATTGGAGATAATCAGTCAAAATTTAGATATAGCTCCCATATATATCTTCGTCCGATTTGCCTTTTATTGTGCACCAAACGTGTAATATCAGTCCGAATAGTATGGAATTTCGCATGTACGATCAGATTGGACCTCAAAATAAGTATGCCAAATTTCATCGAAATCGGTTCAGATATAGCTATAGCTCCCATATATATTGTTCATCCGATTTGTTATTTTTGTCTTCCGCAGCCGTAATATGCACTCTGTAACAACAATATTTGGTGAAATTTATCAAATGCAGCTCAGAAATACATTTGCTAATTTTTATCGTGATCGGTTCAGATTTGGATATAGCTCCCACATATAACTTCGTCCGATTTACATTGGATTGTGTACTAAACGTCTAATATTTGCCCAAATTAGATGAAATTTGGCACTTACGACCGAATTGAGTCTAGAAGCTAGTATGTCAAGTTTAGTAAATATCGGTTCAGATATAGCTATAGCTCCCATATATACTGTTCATCCGATTTGTCATATTTGTTTCCCACAGCCGTAATATGCACTCCGTAACAACGATATTCAGGGGAATATATCAAATAGAGCTCAGAAATATCTTTGCCAAATTTTATCGAGATCGGTTCCGATTTGTATATAGCTTCCATATATATTTTTATCCGATTTCAGATTAATTGTGCACCAAATGGGCAATACAACTCCGAATTTAAAAGATACAAATGCTTCGGCATATTTAGTCCTTTGAATTTTAAATTATAATTATAATCATAGCATGTATAATTGAATTCTCCCATAAAAACTTTTAATTGTTATGCGCAGCTCAACTAAATTAGCAAAGTGGTGTAGGGTATCATAAAGTCGGCCCCGCCCGACTTTAAGACTTTCTTTACTGGTTAAGGTCTGCTATTGCCCAAAAAAAAACTTTACACGTCTTCTACAGCCAGAAGACATTTTACAGGACTTCAGGAGTTCATTGAGGAGCTTTGTAAAAGCAATAAAGTGGTTCTGGGCCTTGTATAGTTTGAAAACATGTTAATGGTGTTCTCTTGGAAAATAGGAGGACCCCGTTGAATCAAGTTCCTCAAGAAAAATTTGTTTAGCTTAGTTATTTTTTATACCCTCCACCATACTATGGAGGGTATATTAACTTTGTCATTCCGTTTGTAACTCCTCGAAATACTCATGTCAGACCCAACAAAGTATCAGCGTAAAATTCTAAGTCGATTTAGCCATGTCCGTCTGTCTGTCTGTTGTAATCACGCTATCTTTCGAACGAATTGAGATAGAAGGCTAAAATTTTGCACACGTGTTTATTTTTCCAGTAGGCAGGCTAAGTTCGTAAATGGGCCATGATGATTTTAGCGACATTTTTCACCGGAATTCTTTCAACTTTGGTATTTGAAGTTCGAAATAAATACTACAGCCTATGACAGAAAATGATCTGGGCAGGTCCACGTCTTCGTATAGCCCCCATATAACGGTACCTCCCGATATTCGGTATTTTGATGATTTTAGCGACATTGTTCACGGGAATTGTTTCAAATTTGGTATTTGAGATTCCTAATGGATGCTACAGCCTATGACCGAAAATTATCTGGGCAGGTCCACGTCTTCGTATAGCCCCCATACAACGGTAGCTCCCAAAATTCGGTATTTTGATGATTTTAGCTCCATCATTCACCGGAATTGTTTCAAATTACGTATTTTGAGTTCGTAATGGGAACTACAGTCTGTGACAGAAAAATATCTATGCAGGTCTAGGTCTTCGTATAGGCCCCATATATCAGTACCTCCCTATATTCGGTATTTTGACGAGTTTAGGTACAATACCCACCGAAATTGTTTGAGATATCGTATTTGACGTTAGTAATGGATGCTATAGCCTTTGACAGAAAATTGTCTATGCTGGTCCAGGTCTTCGCACAGATCCGATATAACGGTATCTCCCTATATACCATATTCTGATGATTCTAGCTACATTATTCACCGTTTATTTCAAGTTTCGAATTTTAATATGGTAATGGCTTATGACAAACAATGCCTATGTAGGTCCACGTCGTATAGACCCCAATATAACGGCTATATATTTGGTATTTTTAAAGTTTTAACAGAATTTTTTAAGGATTTTATTTTTTTTTTTTTAAATTTCCAAATTCGTTCCAAATGGTGGAGGGTATTCAAAGTTTGGCCCGGCTGAACTTACTGTTTTTCAACTTGTTATTCTTCGAATCTTGACTCTATCTAAGTCCATGATTTATATATAGCTTGGAAGTTCCGGAAAATATATTTTAAATTAAACACTATTTGTACTGTTCGGGAAGTTCGAAAAATATATTTGTAGAATATCCACATTTTTTTTTCAGTTCATCCATGATGTACAAAAATTATGAAAAAATTGAGAATTTAAAACAATTTAAAAAAAAATCCTCTATTAAAAATATAAGCTCACTTTTAAAAATACACGGTTTAAAAATATCTCTACTTCTATGATCAGAAGGCCTTTTATAGGTTTTTTATGACCAGAAAATATTTACAGGTTTTGTATAGTTCGAAAACCTTTCACAGGTCTTCTCTGACCACATAACCTGGTACAGGTCTTCTCTGACCACAAGACAATTTTCAGGTATTCTATTGCTAGATGACATTTAACATGTCTTCTATGGCCAGAGGACCTTTTATAGCTCTTCTGTGAAAGCAAGACTTTTTATAGGACTTAAATGGTCAGAAGGCCTTTTACAGGCCATAAAACCATTTTCAGATCTTCTTTGACCACAAGACCATTATTTGCAAGTCTTCTATAGCCAAAGGACCTTCTACAGCTCTTCTGTAACTTGAAGTCTTTTAACAGAACTGCTATGGTCAGAAGGTCTCTTACAGGTATTTTATGAAGAGAAGCGCTTTTACAGGTCTTGTATGTCTAGAAAACCTTTACAGGTCATCTATGGCCAGTGGACCTTTCACAGCTCTTCTGTGGCCGGAAGCCTTCTACGGTCCTAAGACCTTTTACAGGTCTTGTGTGGCCAGAAAACCTTTATTCTCTAACCACAAAACTCTTTTTAGATCTTCTATAGACAGATAACCTTTAACAGGACTCCTAAAGGGTGAGATAAAAAAACTGCAACAAAGTCAAACGCCATTATTTTTATAATTGTTTTTTTTTTTTTTTAATTTTATTGAATAAAACAAAAATGCCGGAAAGAGCATCACATTTAGGATAATTTTAGATTTGTTCGAAGTAGTCACCTTTGGCTCGAATTATGGGCTTCAAACGGCCAAGGAAACCGTCACACGCTGACCGAATGTTGCTCTGCGGTATTTTGACCCATTCCCGGCGAGGCGCTTGGTTGAGGTGATCGACACTTTGGTATTTT